ATCATTTTTAACATCGGGTTTTACTGCTGTTTATTTTTTTCTCTATTCAATTTATTATTTTTCAACAAAATTAGAAATATCCGATGGAGCATCAACATTTCTTTATTTTGGTTATACAATTATGCTTACAGTTATTTTATTTTTATTTACAGGTAAGTTGAAATAAATGTTATAAAAGAATTATTTATTTATTTATTTATTTTTTCTAAAGGTACAATCGGATTTCTTGCTTGTTTCTGGTTTGTTCGTATAATCTATTCTGTCATAAAAGTAGATTAAAAAAAAAAAGACTTGACGATAAAAACAAGATATTGTGATGAATGCTTGCATAACAAGCTTATTTCTTTTTTCTTTTTTCTCGTTTTTCAAATTTGATCATCTTTTTCTTTTTTTGTGTCGTCGCGTTTCTTTCTCAGTTTATGTCAATAAACGTATTGTCCGTTGGTTTAGCTTTTCTTTATTTGTTTAATTATATTTAACATTAATTTCTTCTTTTTTTTTTTCGAGCAAAATCGGATATACTTAAATATTCGATGAACAAACGAAAAAAAAACATTATATTATTTTTTTTTCTCCGTTTAGTTTTTTTTTTCTCTTCTTCTTCTTCTTCACTTTCTTCTCATATTATCATTCGTTTGCATTCTTTCTCTTTCTCTCAGTTGTTATTACAAATAAAGGACGAAGAATAAATTATAATACATGCAATCGATTTGTTATTTTTGATATTATCTAAATAGTTAAATGAATTGTTTTCAGATCGACTAGACAAATGAAAGATGAATATAGAAGAAAATTTCTTTTGAAAAGAAATAGAACTATTCAATACTAGAGTTTGCCATCAAATGAAAGTCTAGAAATAAATTAGAGACGTTGCGAAATGACTATGTTAATGTCACAGTTGTGTTTTTGTAACAAAAAAAGAAAAGTATTCTTTTCGAAGATATCACACAGTAACTTACGTGAAAACTGTTCGAAAGCTACTAATTAATCGCGCTTCTTCTCTTTGATGTTTTTTCATACCTCACTCATGCTGCCAGTATTAGGATGTGGGTGTGCGTATCAGCATTGTTCACCTGCCCTTTACTTACATGCGAAGTGAAACGAGCATCGAATTGAATCTAACTGACAATACTTACGTTTATCTAATATTTACTTTTCATAATTTTTTTTTAATCTTCCACATAGATTGAAAACATGTGCTCTCAGAAGGCGTCTAGAATTTGACTTATGGATGATAATATTCGTCTCTTCGATACTCGGCTTCGTAGACAAATGTTGAAAATATCGAAGGTACACCAATGAGATTTCATATATTGTTGTGTAATTCAATATAATCAACACAAACAAATATAATCTCAATATTGGTGGCCTTCGACATGTCCGATCGACCCGAAGCGTCGGTATTAAACGACGATAGCAGGGTTTCATTGTGATCGGAGCACGCCGGAAGCCGGGTTTCTAACTCAGACATAGAAAGTCCGAGTCAATTCGAAGTATGAATTTGTTCACCACATAAGCAAGTCTAACGCAATCGAGAGCACACGTTTCCAATCTACCATCGAGTTGGTTGTTAAGCCACTGGGTGTGTGCTTTTGTTGCACAACACGCAGTTGATGATCAAAATTGGAACACACAAAAAAGACCGTTAAAACACGAGTTTATATAGTTTACAATGGTATTGCACAATCAATTGTTAACATAGAATATTCGAGAAAAATAGAACGACAAAAAAAAAAAAAATTACGAAGTAAGGTTTGATGAAAGTGCAACTTATATTATTCTCTATTGTCACGTGTGTCTTAGTTACGTTATTGACTTAACAGGCTGTAAGAAATTTCTTCTCTTGATTAGAATATGATGAAAACAAGAATCATTGTAGGCGTATTTCAATAACAGCATTGTGAGTAAAAAAAACTTCTGAACTCTCAGATCTAAAAAGTCTGATTCGACAATTCAAGTCCATTAGCAACCTGCAACTATCGATAGTCAGATACTGTAGAATCCTCATGTGGAAGCTCAGCAGATTCGACCATATGATTAAAGATTATTCTACTAATAAATTGACCTAATTCAAAACTTCATGAATTTTCATTGTGACGATCATAATATATAAATTTACCATTAACTTTAACGTGTATAAATTTAACTATAAAATAAATTAAGGCGAAAACGAACACAGTATAAGTATGTATATGTATGTCCGATGACATCTTGCTTAATCAAATATTCTTTTGTAGTATTTTCAATTTGAAGCACTATCTTTAAAGAAATATGAGGGAAAAATTGGCGAAAAAAAGTTTTTCAGCTACCGTTAGGTGTGATCAGTCCGTGCTTGTCGAATACAGAGGACGCGATACTTGTATCTGGTTCAAACTGTCGATTTCAACAAAAAATTGACGATATGGATGAATGAAACTTATTCTCAAAGGACCGTTCAATCTTGAGTGACTTCTATTTTACTATCAATGTTTTATCAAAAACTAGCACAACATCCAACATCGAGCTTATTTTTATTTTATTTTTTTTCATAGGAAAAGAAAAACAATGAAAACGTTTGCAATTATTGGAACCATATTACATTTTTTGAAATCACCTAGTCAGACGACATTGACTAGCAATAAAGAAATAGTTCTAAGAAAATACTCTTTTCAAGTTCACTTACGTCTAGAAGACAAGTTCAATAAAGAAAAAAAATCAACAATATTTATGAATCTGAATATGTTACATCTTAATTCAATTTTAACACCTTGCTAATGACTAATCCTTTTCAGTTGTCAAAGAAACACCGAGATGACTAACTTTCTTTCACTAATCGATCTCATATATATATATAGAATAGTCCTAAAATAACCAGACTAGTACATATAAATGTAAAAGAATGGTATCAAAATGAAAGAAATAATGTGTATTTCGACGATATCGTGCTACATCAGCAGTGTTTAAATTTCCTTTTATATATCATCAAATTAAAGAAGCTACTACTACACAAAAAAAAGATATTTTCAGAAAATACCGAAATTACTAAAAACTCTTACGAAGTATACAGAACTACAAAATTCATTATCAATCGAAATGAAGTAGTATCAGTTTCATTCAATTCTACATCAAACTAATGTCAGGCCTATCATCAGAGAAATGCTTGAGAGTTTAGACACTCCATAGGATCAACAATATCTTAAGAAATGTAGAAGCAAAAAAATTAAATTCACATGATGAAAGAAGACTTTTCAGCACGATAATCATCACCACATCCGCTAAGAAAAAATTCCTGGTTGCCTGTTTTGCTACAACAATGTTTCTTGTCGATCTAAGAATAATTTTTGAAAATTCTGTTTTAGTACTGACATGTAGAAATGTCACAACTATTGTCAGTGCTATTACAAATGAACGTGTTTTGAGGCAATGTTGTGCAAAGTAACAGCTCGCAATACCGAACAAAGAAATTTTAAGCAAAAAAGCACTAGTAATGACAATCGAATACACTCAATCAAATATTGGTCATATTGTAATACTGTAAAATCAATCAATATGACAAAAGAGAACTAAAGGAAACTGTCTCTCCTTCAACAATTAATAGGACCAACTTAAACATTCACTACGTACTCAATCTTTTCAAATCTTTCATGCTGCTTTTTTATCATATGCAACAAGAAAAGATGTAAAACAATTGATTTCTTCCTTCTGTCTTCGCAACGCACAACAGAGATCATGTTGCAAATATGGTATGATTTGACTAAATGGCAACACAAGCGAGCGCTTCTGCCTACATTTTTATAAAACAAACTGTGTAGTGATGGTCGAATAGTCACAGAAATGAATTTGTGATTTAGTTAATCGATTTTTATTTGGTATGAATCCATGCATACATGGAAAATTCTTTTGTGTAGATTCGATAAATTAGTCTACAAGATACAATAAAAGTTTTTTGGTTCTGCAAGTTCTTCAGAACAGAATCGAAGTCGAGGCACAAAAAGTCGATCCCATCAAACTCTAGAAACAAGATTCCATCAATTATGTTATTTATTGCTTGTGTATATTGGAAAATAGAGAGAATGTTCCGTTATAGTCTTTTGTCATATTGATCGATTCTCCAATATTACAATATGATCTCTACTTTGCTGGATCTATTCTATTTTCATCATTAGTACTTTTTTTTTTATTGGCAAAACTTTTCGTTAATATTCTTATTTGTTACTCTACACAACACTGTGTTTCAAAATGCGTACTCTCACAATAGCACTGACAATCTTCATCACATCTTTGTCAACACGTACTGATTCAGCTTCGCTTCACCTGAGTATTGACTATCTTCTGTTTCCTTTAGCAAGTTAAAACAACCAACTACTGACAGTTAACAAACTGTGGCATCCGTTGATTGTTTATCAGACTCATTCTACGCAAATGAAAGCAAACACTCAATTATATCTTGTGTAAATACATCATGTTTTCCGCAAAAAAAACCAAAAGAATGCATGCACAGCAAGCAACGTTTATCTAGGCTCCTCTAGTGATTCATATGATGTAAAAAGTGTCTTCCCTTCGTGAAAGCATAATCAGTGAATACATAGTATTCTGTTGAGTGAGAAACTACTTAAAATGAGTTTGCAGTTATGAACATAGGAACTAATACAGTAAAATAGTACAGCTCGTATTGTCAAAAACAACATACAAAATATCATTTGAATAAAATGATAAGCCCAAGTAACACAACAATTGTAAAAACTAACACGAGTTCTGGTATCTTGGTGAACTGCGTGTGGGCATTCGATCGTCCCTATAGAACCCACAACAACATATACGACATTTTTCGTGTGCATTGTGAAAAAAATATTTTGCTGATAAAGGGGTTCGACTGTGAAGGAAGAAAAAAAAAATGTCGACTTTTTCTTCCTTTCGGAAAAATACCCAGTCAAGCAGAACTCGTCATCGATTTCACCTGCAATCTGTCACAATGAAACAGAGTTGTTGTTGCTATTCGAACACGTGACAAGATCTTGTGTATGGCGTCGTCGTGTTCTACTGGAGGCCGAGGCCGAGGCCGTGGTCGAGCTTCGACACGAAAAATAGATGAAATACCTTCTCCATCAATAATTACACCTTCTCCATCAGTAATTACACCTTCTCCATCGATTGTTACACCTTCTTCAGAGCATGATTCTGCAGCAAGTGATGATAACTCTTCATCGAAATCGCAACCAGTTTTACCTATTGGTGGGAGTCGTGGTCGTGGTTTTCGTCGAAAACAGAAGCAAATGGTACCTAACGACCCTCATCATCTCGATTCAACGCTGACTGTGGATACCTTACAGCCAAGCATTCAATCGATAAAGTCTGCTGAGTCTGGTACAATTGGTGATCCAATTGAAGTGATGGTCAATTATTTTGCTATCGTTCAATATCCAAAACAAGGTCTAGTGTATCAATATTATATTGAAATTAAAAACGCGTGTGGTAGACTGATTCAACGTAACAGACGAAGGTAAACATTGATGCTCGATACTATTTCTCATCCACTTTTTCATGAATTTCACACCTAGAGTATTGTATGGGACATGGTTGCATGCGTTGTGCAAAAAATACCCAATGATCGACCGACATTCAGTTGTCTTCGATAATCAAACGATTGTCTTAGTCTTTGGTCAACCTTTGCCGGACATTAGTAAAATGGTTAGTCAAAACTATTTCCATTCTTATATCGGTTCTAAATGCATGACTTGCTCTCCTTGTCAACAGATTCATCTTCACTAATCGAATTTCTATTTATTGTAGGGCGTCACTGAACTAATTCAATGCCCAAATTCATCGAATCAAATGGAAGAATTCAAGTTCACCATCAAACTAGTCGGCGATCCGATTGATTTTAGTTTGCTTCGTTCACCGAATGCCTTTCTTACTGCACATCGAGATCTTACACAAGTCAAACAAGCACTATCGATTGCATTACACGAGCATTGCTCTTCCCATGCGGAATTCGTCTATAATCGATTGTTTTATGCTCAACCAACAGTAGAATATCAATATGGCTATTGGGATCTCGGTATGGGCAAAGCTTTATGGCGTGGTTTCTATTCATGTCTCAGATTTGCCAATGGTGCTTACAAACTTTTAACTAACCTTGATGGTGAGTATTTGGAGAACAGAGACAACCATCAGTCGACTTTCTTTCAATATTAATTTTAGTGAACTATTCCATTTTTATGAAAAAGCAGCCATTTCTAGACTTTTTATGTGAAGTAATGCTTGATAGTCCATGTGGCAAAAGAAAATATGGTCGACAGAGGAATATTCGGAAAGCTGATCTTAACGATGTAGTTCAGTTCTTGGATAGTAATAGTAATCGCACTTATTACGAGGGCGAAGTGGAGTTTTTATTGAAACACTGTAAAAGTAAGATTCATTCTTAGTTCTATTTTGTAATGACATCATTTGGAAGCAGATCTTCATATACGCTGGAATGATACGACTGCTTCAAGGATTTTTACCATTCAAAACTTGGGCAAGCCAGCATCGGATCAAACCTTTGAATGGAAACAACGTGGCAATCGAACTGTCACCGTACAACAATATCACAAGGAACGATACGGCCAAAATTTAAAGTGAGTATATTCGAACATTAGAGTTATATTTGTATTGTGCTCCTATCTCTAGATATCCCTCATTACCAGTACTCCAATTGGACAAAAAGTTTTTCAAAGATATAGAAAATATCGATGTCGAGCCAGTACGAATAAAAAGAATCACTGATGAGCAACGGATTCGTCTTAGTAAATATTCAATATTGAAACCTTCTGAACGTTGTCAAGCTATCGAACAAGTTCGTCATAATACGAATCAACAATGCTTTGAGAATGATCTCTTTGTCCGCTTCTGGAATCTACGTATCCATCCAAAGATGACTATTGAACCAGCTCGTATTTTGCCTAAGCCTGAAGTTGTTTATGGCAATAAAGATCAAGCGAAGGCCGAAGGAGTTCAACTATCGGATAAACGTCAAACTCGATTTCACACACCAACTCAATTTCCTACTGTATGGGCAATGATCAACTTGTCATCGAACATGGACGAACAATCGTGTGAAATGTTTTATATTCAACTTAGAAATCTAGGTCACGTGCAAGGTATGAAAATTCCGCCACCGGAAATCTACGAAGAACTAGGTAGTCGCCGACAATCAACGGATGCGGCAGTCAATCTATTGAAACAGATGAGCCAATCAAATCATGATTGTGAATTTATTCTCGTTATTCTACCTGATAGCACTTGGAAAGACGAATCACCTTACGGTGATCTAAAGGCAATGGTAAATAAAAATATATCCAATAGACAACTATACTCAGACTATTTTTAACTGTGTCTCTCTCTAGTGTGAACTTGAGCTCGGTATTGTATCTCAGATGGTCCATTCAGACACTGTGAAGAAGTGTATTGAGAAAAGTAGATCATCAGGTATTCATTCGCCACTCGACATACTGTTGCAGAAGATGAACACAAAGCTCAACGGAATTAACTTTATCGTTCAAGTTCAGTACGTATGCACCTAGATTTTTATCAAGTCATACAAAGAAAGACAATAACTTATAGTCATGTACACACAACTGAGCATCGATTCATGATCCTTCATCATTTTTGTCAGTCCAATGATTTTTATTTTTATTTTTCTATCTTTCAGTCCTGTAATTGAGCGATTTTTTGCTTGCGGTCATCGTATCATGTACGTTGGTGCCAATCTCAGTCATAATGAATCTGGTTCAGGCATTAGAAGATCGACAATAGCTGTTGTTGCATCTGCTGACGACATACCGAATTGTTACTTCAAAGAGATCTACAAGCAAGAGCGATTACGTCCTGTGAAAGGCGAAGGTCGAGAATACATTGTTGACATGCAAGACATCATGAAATCTCTCATTCGTCAGTATGTTGAGCGTCGACGTTACTCACCTAGTGCGATTGTCATCTATCGCAATGGGTTTTCGGTTGGTGAATTCGACAATGTGTTTGAGAAGGAACTCACCGCAATACGCAATGCTTGTGTCGAATTATCACCAGATTATCAACCAATGTTGACTTACATTATGGTGAACAGACATCATCATACGAGATTTTTTCCTAAAAATCAAGACAATAGTGTTACGAATATACAGGAAGGCACCGTTGTTGATTCGGCTGAGATAATCGATGCTGGCATCTATAATTTCTACCTGAATAGCCATCAAGTACTAAAGGTGAGTAACTTCAATTGTTCATCATAGATGGATCTCGGTGAAATTCGTGATAGGGCACTAGTCGACCAATTCACTATTACGTTTTGTATGATGATAATAAGCTAAAACCAGATGAAATTCAAATGTTGACTTATGCCCTATGCTTTACTTATGCTCGTTGGAATCGATCCATATCAATTCCAGCACCCTTAAAATATGCCACTCTACTTGCCCAACGTGCCGGTTTATATGTTAAAAGTAATGATAAATTAGACAAGTGAGTTCATCATCATCATCATCTCAACGATCTAGATCTGATGGATATGTTTCTCATATAGGAAGTCTACTTCATCTTCAACAAGACAAGCAACACCTGAGAATACTGAAGAACACCGGAATATTGTCAGTACACGTATTCCGCTCAGTTCGAAACTAGTTGCAGACTGTCCATTTTTTATCTGATGCATGTGCTCATCGTAGCTTCTGACTTGTCAATATCCGTTCGCTTGCTAATTTTTTTTTCTTTATACTTGAGTTTTTTTTTTTAGTACCAGTAATCTAGACAAGAATACCATCTGTCCACTTCATGTGCTACAGAACATCTCATTTTATTCTTGAATGAAAATAATAGATCGAGTAAAGAGTTAACTTTCCTTGTTGTTTTCTATGAAAGTTTTTTCTAAGAGTTTTTTTTTTAATGATAGAATCGAATTCAATTTTTTACTAGCATAAAAGTACAAACTGTGGTTTTACATAATTATTAAATCGTTCGAGTGTTAAAAAATTCCGACAGATTCAATAAGATCATGTGAAGTATACGATAAGAATAAAACTTGTACATCTATTTTCATCCTACTAAACTGTTTCAATGAATGTTTCCTGTGGCATAGTGGAAAAAAAGCGAAGAGAAAAAGAATGAAAAAAAACCAATCTCGAAAGAGAGATGTTTAGAGAACAAAAAAATCATTAGCATAAACATCTTCACAATGATAAAAAATTTATTGAATACAAACATACGAGAACAAGATCATTCGTAATGTAATCAACATTGTAAAATAAATTAACAAAATGTTCAAGCAACATATGAAAATAGTCAATCATTTTTTTTCTTTTCGCTGCAGCATTTTTCCCAATAACATAGGATAATCTATTTGAGAGTTCATCAACAGTAATATAACCATTTTCATAACATAAATATAAAGTATAACTTCGTTGTTGTATTACGTTCGTGGTACTTATTTTTCGATCTAGCTGCAAGACCATCTTTCATTTGAATCAGCACATGGCTGAACCTGTTTTCTTCTCCTGGTATACATCTAATAATAGGTCAAATATTCGGATGGTATTTCGTGATACGTAGATTCGAACTGATGAAATCTTAAAAGCATACATGAATCATGAAAGTCTTGAAATATCAATTAATATTGCACATCTTCTACATTGTTATTCTAATGTTACCCTAGTTATACATTAAATAATATAAAATAAAATATATTATAATCATTTTTTAATTAAACAAGTTTATATAATTTATTTGGTTTGGTGATAATGAGCTGTAATTTAGAAACAAATCAAAGAAGCAGTAATCAACTAAAAGAAAGTTAGTAATAATAGGATGTAATTCATTCTACTGTATATGTATATAGATATGGATATGATAATCAGAGGGGTGAAGATTAGCACAAACATGGACCAACGAAATGAAGAATGTTTAAAAGATTGGAGAATGGGTGTGGGTTTATATAAAAATATCAGAACAACCACATCCACAACCCACGCCCACACTCTTTTTCGTGAAATCTAGGTCTTGTGATCATGTGATTTCCAAACAGTCTCGATGCTACATCGTACTTTTGTTCGAATTATTAAATTTAGGTAATTACGGTGATTCAATATAAAAATACTTTAGAGATTGTCGTAATGCCTAGCCAGAAGTCACAGTATGTGATACATAAAAATTAATTGACAAAAGCTAGCAGAATTTCTATCCATAGGGAATGAATAAGTTCATATAAATGTTCGTTTTTAACTCATTGAATTGTAAACGAAATTGGTTTTTTTTTCATCCTCTCTTAGTAAATTCGAAAATAATTTTTCATTGAATATGAACATTGTTATAGTATTTTGATATCAATGATGTAATAAAAAGACTGACAAAACGAATGATATATTATTGTTCATTATTATACATTCATTCATCACGAAACTTTAATACTTACAATACAAAATGAATAGAATATTCTTACGATAACTGCAAATGCTTTTCAATTTTTCAAGCAAAATTATTTTTCGTTTCTCTAAAATAATATATTAATGATAAGTTTTTCTTTACATGTTTATTTTTTTCAATATTGTTTAATTTGTGAATGAAAAAGTTTTTTGTATGATTTTCATAAGACTTTAGAATGTTAGGGTGTGGGGGTGTGAGTAGAGATATGCAGTGGTAGTGTAAGTACTGAAATGCTGACATCGGTGTCACTGAGATACTGACTACACTGGTACCCGCATTCGATGTAACCTTAAAGCACCAATTCTGTCAAAATAGGCCCTACTTGTAATGGTGTGTTTCAGTGCTTCAGTGAACACAGGTGCCAGTGTGACGGTGTGATCCTCTAGTCAGTGTGCACTGGCTACACTGAGTCAATATTGTCGGTGATCAGTAAACTGAAACTGCACATCTCTTGGTGTGTGGTGTGAGTGATGCGAAGATCTACATCTACCCACAGCCACATACCTTCCCTTCAGCAATGATTATTCATAACCTTTGGCAAGAACAGAAGATAGATAAAATAGTTGTTCGAAAATAGAAGGCAAGAAAAAAAACAACGTTGAAGCGCAACATCGTTCTAGAATGACTTTCAACAACGAACACATTTTTCTATAATGATATTCGAATCAACGCAATACTTCTGTAAATATTCATCTGAATGGTTGGAAAGTGAAATGGGTTGAATTATTCATCTCATTTTAAGAGAATTTAAAGACAGATTTTATAACAATCATTCAGGATATTCCGAGTACTCTTATAGCAAGGTTTTTTCAATGGTGCATCTATAGGAAAGGAATTATAAGTGAGACCCTGACACGATCGAGTTTCCTAATCGAAACCAACTGAAGCCTTGAACATGAGTATCATAGATGAAAAAACTTCTCTCTTTCTCTAGCTCATAATTGCATCTTCGAGAAAACATATCGAAGTCGATATAGAAAGATATATTTTGGATGCACTTTCTCTCGAATAGCTCAATCGACTTCTATTCTTTGGTGAATTTAAAAAATAAGCATGTCTTCATTTTGAATGACACCAAGATCATTTACTTGTCATGAGATAAAACCATAATCGTCATGTTATGTGAGATCAAAGAATCTCATTTTTTATTGGTATTATGTTATCGCTAATAAACCTTTAGTACAAATATCAGTAGTACACTGTGAACGAACATAGGCGTCTCGTGTGGCATCATCTGGCGAGATAAATTCATGCAATATTTTACTTTGTTCACTGTGACGAAAAATAATAATTAGAAGGGATGTTAGCAGGGCTGCCATATCTTAATTTTCAAATGGGATACTCTTGGGGTACATTTTTTTTACAATGGGGTACGTCATTGAGGTACATAACTTTTTATTGAAATAGAAGGGTTAATGTGGAAACATTTAAAAGAAACTGCTTTTCTATGAAACAACATAATATTCAATTTTTCTCTTTTAGAAATCAATTTCATTGTTGTTTTTTTAACACAATAAAATACTCTCAGTTTACTCAGTTTAATCATGACTTTTAGAAACAAATCTAAGTACTATAAAAATAAACGATATAACATTTTTCATTAAGGCATAATAAATATTGAAATCAACTATAGTACTTTGGCGTCAAATTCAAGATGAAAACTTTTTTTTCAGTTTTAATGTTTTCTACTTTTTCGTATTTTTCTATAAGCAAGAAACATAAAACAGTTACTTTATATTGTGGGTATAGTTATAGAGAGACCGCTACCAGCTACAGTTAACATTATTTCAAAGAGTAACAGCTGTTAATAAATATAAATAATTATTCCTATAATGTACACGTTCGGACAAAAGTCTTTCCCTCTTTACCTTTTTATGATGTCATACTTTGATTCAAATTTATTGCCAAATAGAGATATAACATGAGAGTTTTATTTCAGTATGGTGTACAGACCATACAGTAATAAAACTCTTATGTCATATCTCTACTCGGTAATAAATTTGAATTCAAGTATGGCAGCATAAACAGATAACGGGGAAAAGACTTTTGTCCGGACAAGTATAAATGTCTTTTATCTCATCTGGCTTTGTTTCATTCCTCTGGTAAGCGTTTATTATAGTTTTACAGTTCTATAATATACTTATACAGCGTATGTATTATTTGCCAACAGAAATTTATTTAATCATTCTAATATGCTTAGTTATGAAAAAAATGAACCTTAGTTCTGACACTGGTGTCCGTAATCCCAGCCATAGTGGTTTTTGATTTGGTACTAATCGCAGACGGAAGGAGACAAAACAATGATTACACATGCTCGCTAATACTACGACATTTTAATTAGCCGTTATCCTTTGTTAGAAGGATCTACGAATCATAGAATGGATGCAAATAAATAGGAAGTAGTAGACGAAAAAGAATACAATGAAGGCAAAGATAATGAGAGTAATACGGATACATAGTATAACATTGAATAATCTTTAATGAACAGAAACCTTTCAAATAATACTTCTGGACTTAGAGACCACAGTGATTTTTAACCACTTAAGACATCATTTTTCCAGATAGTTCAGCCATGATCTGCATGAAATAAATACGTTTTCATACCTGATAAAACTTATGTCATACATTTTTTGCACATATACTATTATTTATTCTCTTTATACAGTCAGTTTGATGATATGCTAATATTATTATGCTATTATATAGTTCCAACTGTTTCCTAGCAAACATTTGAGTTTGGTTGTAAAACAACAAAAATCATTGCAAGAGAAGGAATTAAATGACAACTTCTCACCTTGCATTTGACGCCAAAGTACTACAATAATCATAGATCGATTTTTCACTAGTATTGCGTATTATGAATGTTTCTGCAGAGACATGACAAGTATTATAAAAAAACTATAATTCATTTCAATTCATAGACGAATTTATGACAGTAGAAATTCAAAAACTCAAATGGGGTACTGTATCCCACAATGGGGTACGAATGGCAGCCCTGGATGTTAGTGTCAATGGAGTTACACTTTATTCTGCTCCCTCATATCATACAATCGTACCGCTTACATATAAAGCACACGCTTATATACGGGAGTAGAATAAGCGAAGATGAAAAGAAAGAAGATGAGACCAAGGCGAGAACAATGTAAGAAGAAAAAGGTGATGAGGCCAAGAAGAGAACACATATAGAAGAACAATAGAATAAGAATATAACGTAAAAATAGATAGGTGAGAA